GGGACGGGGATGCGAGTGCTTCAGTCCCCGTGTGATAAGGTCCTAAGTGTTGGTAGCTGGCTCTGACTGCAATGAGTAAGATGCTGCTGCTGCTGCTGCTTGCCCCATGGATATATGCTGAGCTCTGCAGAAGGACCTGCTACGGCAGCAATATGCATTGGCAGATAATCTACTGGACTTGTTTCTTGTCTGATGCAGAGGAGCAGCAGCCTGAGCAATGGGAAATACAACTTTTGGATTCTAGCTGGGCAGCCTTTTGAGAGGAAAAAGTAATTTATGTCCCCCTTGCAGTTAACACAGTTTTTAATTAACTCAGGTTGGTGGACTGCTGGTTTAGTCTTTTCTCTGAATGTGAGCGAAAGGAGAGAAGGGTACTAAAGACAGTAAAATAATGCTATGTCCTTTTAATTGGGTTCTTATTGCCTCACTAAAATGCCTGTAATTTTAGACCCCTTCTTTTTGCCCTTAATAAGCTGGGTACCCCTGAGAGATATTTTGCATCTGTACATCAGCGTTGGAAGGCTCTGTAATCATAAATACTTTATGGTGCAAAATTACCTTTTTTTTTAATTAGAAGATGCATGAAGTGCTACTCCTGGCAGCTCCCCTTCTGTGCTAGAGGTGCAGCAAAATATAGAACAGTGCTTTCTTGGACAGAGTACAGAAGAAAAGCCTGCTTAGCTCAGAGCATCACTATCCAAGTGCTTAGTATTCAGTTGTACACCACTTTCTAGTGTTCTAAGTGTTTCACATAGATCAGACTTGGATTGAGTCTGGAAAAGTTTTTTTTTTTAATTTGGATGATAGCTCCCTAGATTTTCCAGCCACCATGGCTACTTGGAGAATTCTGGGAGTTGCAGTCCAAAAAAAAGGAACATTCCCAAGCACTAGGCTTGTCTCTTAAGTAAAAAGGAACTTCACAGAAGGAAAGTCTCCACTGACCTCTTTCTGAATTGTAGCACCTGAGCTAGCCTGAAAAAACTTTTTGGTAGGGTCTCTGTGTAGCGCCTGCACAGCATGGGATGGGGTTGCTGGTTAACTGAAGGTAAGGTAATTTGAAAAAAGATTTTCTTCTTCGGGCTCATTCACACTTACATTTAAACTGGTTTGCGATTTGCCTTTGCTTCCTGTTGGTGAATCGATTCCAGAGGATCCGTCGTTCCCACTATGAAAGCGGATCTTTTCATTATTCCCTTGTAATCACTTCTTTTTTGGTACGATTGTTGTTCCCACTAGTTTGCGTCACTTCAAAATGCATGTTAATCATCTACGCATCATTGGTGACACAAGTGGCAACATGGTGAGGATGGGGCCGTTCCAGGTGCTGAGTGGGGTGACTTTAGCAACTAAATCTTGCTCTGCCCCTCAGCAACCCAGGTTGTTCAAGCACACCATTTCCTCTTTGAGCAGCCCAGATTGGGAACTATTTAAAAAAAAATTGGCAAGATATGTGATCCATTGGTTTTGCAACTACTTGCCTCGCTGAGCTGCAGTCTGCCCATAATTGCAAGTAGTTGGAAATATGATGGATCACATGTTCTGTCATATATATAAGGAAGCGCTGGGGGGGGGGGAATGGCTGATTTCCCAAAAACTGAGAAGGGATGGTAAACACCCCTCTGCCATTAGTCTCTCCCCTCCAGCATGATCCGATTCAGATCCATCGTTCCCACTTGTGGAACACACTTGGGCATCAATTCTTTTCAAAAGAACTGCCATAAAACTAGTGTCAGGAAACAGTGGGGTTTTTTGCATTTGCCTCACTTCATCATGATTGCAACTGAGTTTAATAGGATCAGAACCAGTTTCAAGTGGGAACGATGGTCATATAACTCGATCAGCAATTCGCTTTAAATCATAGTGGGAACAAGACCTTCAAGGATTTTCTTCTTTGCTTCTTTGCTTCACTACCAGAAGCACTCCTCCCATATTGTTCAAAAAAAGTCCACAGCTTTGAGAAGTTGTACTTTTCCAACTTGAGAACCAATGGCATGCAGGCTAATGGATTCTAGGAGTTGTAATCTAAAAAACTATGGAGCTTTGCAGACGGGCAGCCGTGGGCCGCCCTGAGAAGCAGAGGATTGGGGCTGAGGCTGCCCCACACCTCGGCCCCAATCCACCCTTCTGCCAGCCCTGGAAGGAGTGCTAAAATATTTTGCCAAGAAAACCCCAAGAACAAGTAATAACAACAATAATCAATATCATCATGGGTGGCGGCGGCGGCAGGACCGGCCTGGGGCTGGTCCAAAGGCCTCAGGGGGGCGCATCCGGCCTCCGGGCCTTAGGTTGCCTACCCCTGGCTTAAACTGAAGGATAAATAGTTTGATTTTATTTATTTTTTGAAATATTTATATCCCATGCAATATTAGTGTCATTATGGGGATAGTGTTAGACTATGACCCGGGAGACCAGGGTTCGCTCAGCCATGGAAACCCACTGGGCAAGTCACACATGCTGAGTCCCAGAAAACCCCAATACGTTCGCCTTAGGATTGCTATAAGTTGAAAAGACATGAAGGCACACAACCATAAATGATGTTTGTACACATCTCTGGAGAGTGTGCACCCAAACTTCAGATTACTCTCTTAAACCAAAAAGACAAAAGATTAAATTCAGTTGTAAGATGCAACTGAACTACATGTTAAATTAACAGCTGTGTTAGTCCTATCGATTTAGTTGGGTCTTCTCTAGGTGGGACTACAATCAGCCCTCCTTATCCACAGATTCAATCATCCACAGCTTGGAAATGTTTTTTTAAAAAAATATAAATTCCAAAAAGCAAACACTGACTGTGCCATTTATATAAGGGACATCATTTCAGTATGCCATTGTCTTTAATGGAATTTGAACATCTGCAGATTTTGGTATCTTTGGGAGGGCCTGGAACAAAACCCCAGCAGATACCAAGAGCTCACTGTATTACATTTAGCCCTGGACTATTTTTTATTAGAATTTGCTTGTGAAATTGACACAACAACAAGCCCTATTTTAGGAAGGAATGAAGGGGGGATCATAGGAATTTGATATCACTAAAGGTCAATCTTCTTAATTTAAATGCATTGTCAGCAATGTAACCTCTAACTTTCCATCTTTTCATGACAGTTTAAAAACACTCATTTCTATTTTCTTCCTTTAGTTGCCATTTTACTCCTTTAAACTGTGACTTCTGTAGATTAATGTATATTGTTTAGCTCTTTATCCATACTATATTTAATAAAATAAATATAAAAACATAGGAAACCTCCTTATATTGAACCAGACTATTGATCCACCTAGTGCATTACTGTCAATACTGACTGAGAGAGGATTTCTAGAATTTGAAACTTTCCTAATCCCACATGGAGATGCCAGGTTTCAACCTAAGATTTCTATGCAATACATATGCTGAGAAATGTGTGCTCTTATAAGCTTTCAAGCCTGGGAAAGAAGTCTTACATTCACATGTGTTTAAGTTGTAGGTCCAAAACAGACTGCAGAAATAATCCAGAGTGAGACTGCTTGACTCAGTGCTAGGGAATTCTGGGAATTGTAGTTTATTGTGTCACCAGAATTCTCTCTGATAGAGAACGCTCAATGTCTCACAAAACTACAGTTTCCAGAATTCCCTAGCACAGTGCCAGTGCAATTACAGTGGTCTCAAACTGGATTATTTTTGCACTGGGTTTTGGGCCATAGTCTGTGCAATAGAGTGATTTTTACCCCAGTGCTGTTGCATGCTAATGATGAGCACACCTCTGTTGCCTAAGTAAAACAAAACTCCAGTTGGTGCTGAGAAGACATTTTCTGAAGTTTTACAACTTATACAGCAAACACACAATGACTGACATTGGAATTGCAATAAAATGCTAGATAAGTTTTAAGTTCAGCTGAATGTTTAGGAGGCAATCACCAACTCATTGCAACTATGGTGTGTTTTAATACCTCCATGCCTAAAAGAAACATTCCAGTTTTATTTTTGCAGATGTGTGTTCTCATTTGTTCTTTTAATTTGCTTTACTTCAAATTGGCTGCTTTATCTATAGCCCACTGCTGAAAAGGAATGCAGCTGTTTGAAGAAAATAACCGTTAAAAGCCTACTTGGATGTTAGCATATGTTTTAAAAGATATGCTATTTGTACACAGACATTGTTTTGGAGAAATATTTCTCTGTGCACTTTTGTGTTTTCTCAGATTGGAGGCATTTATGCCTGGAGAGGACACACATTTGAAAAGTGTCCATCTTTTTAATCTTTGTAAAACAGATCATAGTATTGAACTTAATATTTGCTGTTGTCGGGAGTATGGCTATGATTTCAGGACAAAATGGCAGGACATGTGGCATTGTGAAGTGTGAGGAGAAACTGCCAAGGTTGTTTGTGATGATGGGTGGGGGGATTGACTTTGCAAATTCCCTCTTGACTGTCATGGGTCTCACTTGTCATCTGCTGAGTTGCTAAGGTCATCTCCGGTTGCAAGAAGGGGCAGTTCAATATTAACATATTGTGTGAAGCAGTAC